AGCGAGTCTATTACATTAGCCAAAATCATCGGTCAAATCGCTCCCTCGTGATCTTTAAGAGCACTCTTCCCTTTGATTATCTAATTTCGATTTTAGTAAAGACAAGAACAGCTTAATAAAATATAAAATATTGTTTGTATCCATAACGTTAACTGATGATCTCCGCTGTTACGTTACAACACACATCGCCAGTTAGGAGAACGATCATTTGATTCGCTTTTCGGTTGCGCGCCTAAATGGCCAAATGAATACATAAATATATCAAAATGCCAAGTCGAGTATTCACGTAAACACAGTAGAAGTAGCTACTGTGTAACTGTAAGTAGGCTACTGTAAGTATGAGAAACTATGCTCAGTTGATAACTCACCTCATTGTGAAAGCCCTTCACAATTAATATTGAAACATTGTTTGCTAAATATTTGTTTGTTTTTAGTTGTCTATGGACCTAATAATTAGCCTAATACTGTTGAAATTTCATTGAAAAAAGCATGTCTTTAATAATATTATTATATACACTACTAAGATTTTTTATGTTTTTAAAAGAAGTCTCTTGGGCTCACCAAGGCTGCAATTATTTGATAAAAAATACAAAAAAAACAGTAATATTGTGAAAAATATTATTACAATTTAAAACAGCAGTTTTCTATGTGAATATATAGTGAAGTGTAATTTATTCCTGTGTTCAAAGCTGAATTTACAGCATCAGTCTGCAGTGTCACATTATAATATGATGCTCAAGAAACATTTATGATTATTATCCATGTTGAAAACTGTTTTTTACATTTTTATTTCAGGATTCTTTGATGAATAGAAAGTTCAAAAGAACAGAATTGATCTGAAATGGAAAGCTTTTGTAACATTAATCTCAAAGTTTGGGGTCAGTAAGAATTTATTTTTTATTTTTAGGGGAAAGAAATTAGAAAATGCTTTTTCTTGAGCATAAAATCAGCATATTAGAATGATTTCTGAAGGATCATGTGACCCTGAAAACGGATGTGTAATCAGCAACAGTAATGATGTTAAAAATTCAACTTTCAAATTACATTTTAAAATATATTAAAATAGAAAACAGATATTTTAAATCGTCATAATATTTCACAATATTACTGTTTGTCTTTTTTTTTTTCATCAAATTAAGCAGCCTTGGTGAGCAGAAGAAACTTCATTTAAAAACATAAAAAAATCTTACTGATCTAAAACTTTTGACCAGTAGTGTATATCTTTTACTGAGGCTCTTTTGAAACAATGCATTAACCATAAATAATAAAAAAAAATGGTACCTGACCTCAGTCAAGCAGTTCTATAAATCCAATTCCTCTCAGATATCAATCAATGAAACCAGGTTATAACTGGGGAAATAACAAATACAATAGGATTAAGTAGTCTAAACATACAGTAACTGGTGTGTGCATGTGATAAATCTTTAGGGCCCGAGCACCGGGACCCTCTTGGAATTGCTCTGTTTATTATTATTATTATTATTCTCCAAGATGAATCGTACTTTTGAGGCCTAATTCTGATTTTATATTTGTTGTAAGCTACTTAGTAGCTACATGGCCCTACAGTGTAATGTAAGGATAACCAGAGATTTCACATATTGACTTTTGCATGGGAGTAGTTGAAGAAAGTAGCTGGAGCCTAACCATGAAAAGGAAGGCTAAAAGTGGGGATATTGCCAGCTTTTTTGTGAAAAAAAAAAAAAAAAATCAAAACTAGTACACAGGAGGAAGAGCGTGAGGGAAAAGAAAGGCAGTAAACTGGAGAGACCAGGAGGGTCATTTGTGGACTGTAATTATACCTTTTTAATTATAATAAGAACTGGAGTATTGTCCGCTGTTTTATTCCTGTCCTCTGCATCTTGGACACAAATATTGTACTTTTTAAAATAAATTTTCATTTAGCTTTTTATACTTTTACTTTTTTTTAAATGCACAATTTTGTTTGAACACTGCACTGGGCTTATTCTTGTTGTGAATTTAAAACCTTTGTAGTGTGTAAGGACACGATTAAACAATATCTAATATACTTTAAAAGTGTTTTTATGTTTGTTTTGTTAAAGCAATTCACATATAGGGATTGCCATACCGTCTACCCCTGCCACCCTGCCAAGACCTCTTGCCACCCCTTTGCCCCCCCATGTAAAATTTTCTAGATCCGCCACTGGCGGTATGGGACGCGTCTCTGCGTATGCTACGCCGTACCTACTGCGCGCACCCTACGCAGAAGTATAAATTGGCCTTAAGTGTCGTTTGTTCGAATCTCGCGCCACTTTGTGGGTGTTGTCAGGAGCGTCAGGGAGTCAGAGTTAGAGAGATGTTTCATCGTCGTTATTGTGCAATATATGTGATAGGGCTGTATATTATTACATTATTAGGTTAGATTAGTTATAGTTTATTGTTAGTATTAATTATAGCTATATTATAGTTTTGTTATATTAATTAGATAAGATTATTTTGATTGCTTGGATTTGGACTGGACTGGTTTTTGATTTGGATTGCCCTTTTGGAATTGTTTGCTTTTTTTGACCTAATCCTTTTTTTCTTGTAATGGAGCCAGCAAGAAAGAGCTTATTATTATTTTACTGTCTTGGTATAGCTAATAATCCTCACTATATGGCTGTATAATATTTAATGTCTAAGCCCGAATACACTTGAAAAAATTCTGTTCCTCAATAAAAATAATTTCTAATCCTTCCTTCGGTCCTCTACGTCCCCAGTCTTTATTACACTCCCTCCACCATAAGCACTGCACTCAACAGTGTAACTTTTATTGTTCATACTGTCACTATCCAAATCATTTATGAATAATTGATTAACTCTCTTTCTCTGTGTGTGTGTGTGTGTGCGTGCGCGCGTGTGTGTGTGTGTGTGTGTATGAGAGAGAGAGAGAGAGAGAGAGAGAGAGAGAGAGAGAGAGAGAGAGAGAGAGAGAGAGAGAGAGAAAGTTGTCTCTGTAGAAGTAAATTCAGACAGAATATACATATTTTATTTTATTCCCAGGCAATGGACAAATGTCTGCTCAGGTATTTGTATTATTGCAAATGAAAGGTTACAGACATTAACAGTCAGAAGAAAAAATAAAATAAAACAGTAAAGGGTAAAAGTAATATCTGGACATCATAAGTCTGCTCAGGTCATCGCTTCAGAATTAAATAATTTGTCTGCTATTTCTTTGCACAGTAGCTAGGTGTCACTAGTGAGCAATACTGACTGAAGCTGCCTTCGAGTAATGAACCTTTGGGTGAAACAATGGGCTACGAGGTCTCAATGGTTCAGGAAGCCTCATTTTGCCATCACTACTCATTAATATAAGGGTCAAGAGCCCAACTAAAGCAAACACTCATCTCCATAACGGTGGCTTAAAATTTTAGATTTTTTTCTTGTGATTCTGCTTTAGGTGTCTTCAATAATGCTCAATCCTCACTCATTTAATCACTTAATTATCTCATTATCTTTAACACTCTTGAGTGTGGACTCATATACACTCCCAGGGGTGTTAATTTAACACAGGAGATTTTGTTGTGACGAAGAGCCGTAGTTAACTGACAAGCAAAACGTCTATTTGACATCTGCAGGAAACGTCCTATAGACGTCTTGCAGATGAGCAAACACTCTTTAAAATACGTCTTCCAGATGTAAACAGGAGATCAGACAGCCTTGTGCTATCTGGGGCCATATCGCATTAAATATCGCTATCGATACGTCCTCGATATTAACGCGATTTGGCTCAGCTTGTCAGTGAACTACGGCTCTTTGTAGTAAATGCAGCTCCATCTGAAAGCAGGTGACATTTACTATCAAGGAACCGGCTTTACTGATTAGATGCGCATAACAATATCATGCGTTATATCGCCCAGCCCTAGTAGGATATATAGCTTATATTCGTACTGAAATATAAGGGATTTTCACACTGGAATATTAAACATAACGTTACGACATAGCTACATTAATAATCTGTTTTTTTGTTTTTTTTTTCGGCGCCCATTTTAACAGATAACTTGATTTTGATTTGATTTACACCATAAAATAATCACGGCGAAGTGTGCTGATCAACACGAAGCTCGTGTGAATACCGACTGTTGTCAAAAAAGCATGTAATTCTTCTTAACATAGGAGCGCATAGATCCCGGGGAATGTGTGAAATAATACCCGCATCTGGGCTGCTGAAGCAAGTCTCCCTCGCGCCCCGTACGGAGGATGCATGATCCTCGGTAACCATATGAACCGCGAATATAACATTACCTTCATAGTCTACGAGTAACACAACATGAAAAATAAGAAACTGAAATAAATCACTTACCAGGTGAGAATCACTCCTCTTGCCGCTATCCGAAAGTCGACGACACGGCCGTTGAAGATCACAATGCCTCTGTGTCGATTTGAAATTTACAGCAATATTCTGTATTTTGAATCAAACCGCCACGCGACCGCAGAATGCATTGCAGTTTACAGCAAAATGCTGCATTATTAGAAAACAGCCAGCTGCTGTAAAATATTGCTGTATTTTTTACAGCAATTCAGACAACACCAAGTCCACGCGCCTGCGTACTACTTTCAACGTCAAGCAGACTTTTGCGTTATTACCGTTTACACAGGAACGCGGCGGTGGAGCATTTTTAAGATTTCCACTCTGGAGGGTGGTTTCACTTTTTTGCGTTTTTGAGGCTCAAAAACGCCGTTGCCGTGTAAACTAAAGGCACATCCGATAAAATATTTTTACGTTTTCACCCGCGAGCGTTATCGTGTAAACAGGGCCTCAATTTAATACTGGGGATTTTGCTGTGTGGACAATAACTTTATTCTAGAGCTGTTGTAAATCCCAAACAATCTCTGTTACTTTAATTTCCTATTGTAACTGTAAAGCTGCTTTCAAACAGTCCATATTGTTAAAAGCACTATATAAATGAAGGTAACTTGAGTTGACTTGACAATTTTTCTAATATATGAATTGGTTGTTAACTGATAGGCCTATGTGTGTGTGTTTTCTTTCTGTTTGTCAGGAGGAAGCAGGTGTTTGGTGTTGATGACAGTGTGTCTCGGGCTCATGTGTGTTCTTCTGCTGGTCTTCATCACACTGCAGCACATCACCATCACAGCAGAGAGAGACCTGTTAAAGAGCACAGTTGAAGAGTTCAATCAGACTAGCTTACAGGACAAGAACACTGATCTAATGACTGAAAAAGACCAACTGAAGAACAACTTCACCTCTTTGAGTCAGAAGAAACTGGAGCTGGAGACCAGAGTCAATGATCTCACTGCTGAGAAAAGTCAATTAAAGGGAAGTTTTGACTCTTTGAATCAGACGAAACTGGAGCTGGAGACCAGAGTCAATGATCTCACTGCTGAGAAAAGTCAATTAAAGGGAAGTTTTGACTCTTTGAATCAGAAGAAACTGGAACTGGAGACCAGAGTCAATGATCTCACTGCAGAGAAAAGTCAATTAAAGGGAAGTTTTGACTCTTTGAATCAGAAGAAACTGGAACTGGAGACCAGAGTCAATGATCTCACTGCTGAGAAAAGTCAATTACAGGGAAGTTTTGACTCTTTGAATCAGAAGAAACTGGAACTGGAGACCAGAGTCAATGATCTCACTGCTGAGAAAAGTCAATTACAGGGAAGTTTTGACTCTTTGAATCAGACGAAACTGGAACTGGAGACCAGAGTCAATGATCTCACTGCTGAGAAAAGTCAATTAAAGGGAAGTTTTGACTCTTTGAATCAGACGAAACTGGAGCTGGAGACCAGAGTCAATGATCTCACTGCTGAGAAAAGTCAGTTACGAGGAAGTTTTGACTCTTTGAATCAGACGAAACTGGAGCTGGAGACCAGAGTCAATGATCTCACTGCTGAGAAAAGTCAGTTACGAGGAAGTTTTGACTCTTTGAATCAGACGAAACTGGATCTGGAGACCAGAGTCAATGATCTCACTGCTGAGAAAAGTCAGTTACGAGGAAGTTTTGACTCTTTGAATCAGATGAAACTGGAGTTAGAGACCAGAGTCAATGATCTCACTGCTGAGAAAAGTCAATTACAGGGAAGTTTTGATGCTTTGAATCAGACAAAACTGGAGCTGGAGACCAGAGTCAATGATCTCACTGCTGAGAAAAGTCAATTACAGGGAAGTTTTGACTCTTTGAATCAGACGAAACTGGAGCTGGAGACCAGAGTCAATGATCTCACTGCTGAGAAAAGTCAGTTACGAGGAAGTTTTGACTCTTTGAATCAGAAGAAACTGGAACTGGAGACCAGAGTCAATGATCTCACTGCTGAGAAAAGTCAATTAAAGGGAAGTTTTGACTCTTTGAATCAGACGAAACTGGAGCTGGAGACCAGAGTCAATGATCTCACTGCTGAGAAAAGTCAATTACAGGGAAGTTTTGACTCTTTGAATCAGACGAAACTGGAGCTGGAGACCAGAGTCAATGATCTCACTGCTGAGAAAAGTCAATTACAGGGAAGTTTTGACTCTTTGAATCAGACGAAACTGGAACTGGAGACCAGAGTCAATGATCTCACTGCTGAGAAACGTCAGTTACAGGGAAGTTTTGACTCTTTGAATCAGAAGAAACTGGATCTGGAGACCAGAGTCAATGATCTCACTGCTGAGAAAAGTCAGTTACAGGGAAGTTTTGACTCTTTGAATCAGAAGAAACTGGAACTGGAGACCAGAGTCAATGATCTCACTGCTGAGAAACGTCAGTTACAGGGAAGTTTTGACTCTTTGAATCAGAAGAAACTGGATCTGGAGACCAGAGTCAATGATCTCACTGCTGAGAAACGTCAGTTACAGGGAAGTTTTGACTCTTTGAATCAGAAGAAACTGGAGCTGGAGACCAGAGTCAATGATCTCACTGCTGAGAAAAGTCAGTTACAGAACAGTATTAACTCTTTGAGTCAGAAGAAACTGGAACTGGAGACTGAACTAGAGAAGATAACACAAGGTTTGTAGCATGATCCCCAGTGTTAAATTAATACTCCTCAGTGTACATATGTGTCCACACTGCGTTTACATGGTTCAATCAGAATGAAATCAATCCGATTGATGAATCCGAACACAGTGTTTACATGAACGATAAATAAAGTAATTGGGTTGATGTGCGCGTTTATATGTCACGAGATTCGGTAACACTTTATTTCACGACCCGCAAACAGCTGTGTAAGTACACTGAAATTACAGTGTACGTTTCTGTAATTATAGTGTACTTCCGTGTAGGTATAAGGGAACAATATGTTAAGTTTGGGGTAATAAAGGGGTAACAAGCACCACTTTAATTTACAGCCCGCAGGAGTTACACTTACCCTGTAACTACACAGAACAAGGGGGTAACAAACGCTACTTACTATGTAGCAATACAAAACAACACTATTTGCACCGTAATTACAGAGAAAGGTACTGTTATCAAAAAAAAAAAAAAAAAACTTTTTAATTTCACAGTATATTTGTCCTGACATTTAAGTGTCATTGCAATTCAATGGGATAAGGTGAGTACTAATTACCACATGGTACGGTCTAAATTAAAATCATAGCACAAACAAATTATTTTGACTTAACATTAAGTAATCTAGTAAGAAAAGCCAATAAATTTATATTTTAATATTTCATCATAGTATATATATATATATATATATATATATATATATATATATATATATGTGTGTGTGTGTGTGTGTGTGTTTAATTTTTAACCTACAGATGTCAAAATCCTGTAACATTGCACAAGAACATATTTTGCCAGAAATGTGATGCATTTTATAAACAACAGATGTACAATTTTTGCCTGGAATATATTAACAGAATAGTGTTATTTTTTTAACTAATTAAATATTTTACCTGTATATCTACTTACCCCTTTATTACCCCAAACTGAACATATTGTTCCCTTATACCTACACTGAAGTACATTATAATTACAGAAACGTACACCGAAGTTATTTGCAGGTTGTAGATCTGCTTGTTACCCCTTTATTACCCCAAACTTAACATATTGTTCCCTTATACCTACACGGAAGTACACTATAATTACAGAAACGTACACCGTAATTTCAGTGTACTTACACAGCTGTTTGCGGGTCGTAAAATAAAGTGTTACCCGAGATTCAAATCGGAATTGATTTTTTGACATGCGCACACTGCACGAGTATACTGCCGCTGTTCGCGCATAACTATTCTCCCCTATTGGTTCTTTATTTGTTTTAAACAACAGACTTAATATTTATCTGTCTCTGGTCATTATTTGGAGACGATGAGCATGAACCGTTTTGCCGCTGCTTATATTTATCACGCAGTAAAACCCACGCCCAAAACCAGTCGTGTGTGGATGAGAGTAGTGTTGCTTTCGTCAACGAAAATTATGACTAAATATTGTCGTCAACGAACCTTTATCACATGATGAAAACGAGACGAGACGCAGCATAAATGCTGGTCGTGTGACGATGAGTATAACGAAATGTATAATGCAATGACGAATAAAACCAAGACTCAATGTGGTTTACAAAAATAAAACCATGCTAAAATGTCTCTTCATTTTCGCTGACCTTAAAACGAGACGAGTCAAAATGTTATTTAACGTTATTTCGTCTCGTTTAGCCTACTTGCATTTTTATTATGCAGCATTTCTGTTTCCTGTGTCACTTCAGGGGCTGCATCATATCGCACTGTGCAAACGCAGGCGACTTCACATCCTCGAGCCCCACTCGCGGTATTCGAAGAAGTAGCTGCGTGAGTTACAGCTGTTTTCACACACACTCTGTGTGTAGAGTGAATGCGGTGCGTGTTGCAGTGTGTATGCAGAAGCAGTGCGCGCTATTGCTTTCACATGTGCTGCAACTGATCTACGGCTGTACCACAATCACAACATTTATTCTCTATTTTTTATTTCAAATCAGTATTTTAGCCTACATCCATTGTGTCGCGTTGTTGAGGAAGCCTACTGTGTAGATCTCTGCTCTGCTGTTATGCACGCATCGCTCTTAGAGCGCGCGGTATGAGCGCTAATCTATTACTGTAATATGGGTGCGGGAAAAATACGCACTACAAACAGAGTAGGCTATGTGTGAAACAGGCGTTAGCATAAACGACAACAAACAAAGTTAAGTCTGACAGAGAGAAAGGGATTCGTCTTTGGGAAAAAAAGAAGAAATGACATTTGGAAAAACCTTCATTTCATCATATGTGTAGGCTACTTCTAACATGTTTGGTTGGTAAAGTAAATTCAATCGAGCGTCTTCCGTGTCTGGAATGGATGTATTCTTTATTCTATAAGGTAACAATAATATAAGAAGATAATAAGAAGATAAGATTGTTTGAAATGGTTTTGGCTAAAAGAACATTTTGGTTTCGTCTAGGCTAGCCTATAGGCTACTAGGTAGGTTACTTATATATTGACTAGGTTAAATAGAATTGCCTATTAAAAAGAGACTAAAATACAATTTTCATTGACTAAAACTAGACTATGTTTTTCGTCGACTAAAAATAGACTAAAATGTCATCGGTTTTCGTGAACTAAAACTAGACTAAAATGTCATCAGTTTTCGTCGACTAAAACTAGACTAGACTAAAAAGAGTATGAACGTGACTAAAACTAATAAAAACGTCTCGGTTACGTATGTAACCCTCGTTCCCTGAGTAGGGAACGGAGACGTTACGTCAGAAGTGACGGAGATTGGGGGTTTCGCATAGAAAGCCAATCCTCTTCGAGTATTTAAAAACGAGCCAATGGCATGCAATGCCTTGGGGCTGCGGAATTTTGCATAGCGTACTCCGCCCTACTCCGTGAGTATAAAAGGAGGAAGTGAACGCAACCGCAGTATGTCTTCGCTGAGGAGCCAAGACTGAACTCGGCGTCTACCCAGCGATACAGCAGAAGTGGCAGGGAGACGTAACGTCTCCGTTCCCTACTCAGGGAACGAGGGTTACATACGTAACCGAGACGTTCCCTTTCGTAGTCACTTCGAGTTACGTCAGAAGTGACGGAGATTGGGGGTCTGTGCCATCACGCCATCTTCAAGCTGTCTTCCAGTGCCCTGCGAAAGTCTGGACCCCTGCCTTACCTTTTTTTTTTTTTTTTTTGGGGATCCCACTTTGACACAGGATTACCAAGGTACACTGGGAAACATATCCCGGGAGGGACATGCTACCAGCTGCCAACCGAAGGGAGGACTTACGAATACACATATGGCCACATAGGAACGCATATGGAACACTGGAGCACCAACCGCAGGTGGCTACTAAAATTCAACTCCAGGGGTGGCAGATGGCTTGCCAAGGGAAGACACATGCTCAGAGAGGCTTACAGTGGATGATACACATGAGACGGTTACCAAGGGGAACCGTACGCATGGAGGCACCTAGCCAGCATCCAGAGCAACAGCAGTGGTGCCCGCATCGTCGGTGCTGGAGGACTCAAGCCTTCAATGGAAGAACTGAGGAGATATCGCACTTATCCAGTCCGGGGAGTGGAGTGGCGAGCAAGCGAAGACACCTGAGCGGATCCAGAACTGGCCGAACGAGTACGTGAGAGGATACCGGCTCAATTCGCAGATTAGAATCTGGCGAAGGTGTTGGGTGTCGCCCAGCCTGCAGCTCTGCAGATGTCTGTTAGCGAGGCGCCATGCGCTAGAGCCCAAGAGGAGGCCACACTCCGAGTGGAATGGACCGTCACACCAAGGGGGCACGGCCGGCCTAGCTGCTGGTAAGACAAAGCGACGGCGTCCACTCTTTCAGTGGGACAGCCGTTGCTTTGAGAGAGCCCTTCCCTTCTGGCTCCCCCCATGACAGACAAAGAGCTGGTCTGAGGTCCTGAACACTGCGTTCTGTCGACATAGGTGCGGAGAGCACGTACCGGACAGAGCAGTGCCAAGGCTGGGTCTGCCTCCTCCAGGGGCAGCGCTTGCAGGTTCACCACCAGGTCCCGGAGGGGAGTGGTAGGAACCTTGGGCATATATCCAGGCCGGGGTCTCAGGAATACGTGAGAGTAAGCCGGCCCGAACTCCAAGCACACTTCGTCAACAGAGAGAGCGTGCAGGTCCCTTACTCTCCTGATGGAGACCAATGCAATCAGGAGTGCTGTCTACATAGGACAGGGCAAAAACTCACCGACTGCAAAGGCTCCAGGGGAGGCCTCTGCAGAGCACCCAGGTCTACTGAGAGGTCCCCAGAGGGCAGGAGGGGAGGGAGGCGGATTTAGCCCCCTCGCTCCCCTCAGGAACCTGATGACCAGGTCATGCTTCCCATAGACTTACCTTTCACTGCATCATGAGACGCGGCAATGGCCGCGACATAAATCCAAAGGGTGGAGAGCGACAGCCTACGCTCCAACCCCTCTTGCAGGAAGGAAGCACGACTCCGATCGAACATCTCCGGGGGTCTTCTCAGCGAGAAGAACACCAATTGACGAAGAGGTTCCACTTCAACGCATAAAGGTGTCTCGTGGACGACGCTCTTGCGGAAGTGATGGTTGCCGCCACCGCAGGTAGCAGCGAACTCAAACCTGCCTCGTCCCGTCCAGGAGCCACACGTGCAGCCTCCAAAGATCGGGACGAGGGTGCCACAGAGTGCCCCGTCTCTGAGAGAGTAGGTCCGTTCTCAGAGGAATAGGCCAAGGAGGTGCTGTCGCGAGGAGCATGAGTTCGGAGAACCACGTCTTGGTGGGCCAGTAGGGGGCTACCAGCAAGACCTGCTCCTCGTCCTCCTTGATCTTGCACAACACCCGTGCAAGGAGGCTCACTGGGGGAACGCACACTTGCGTGGGCCCCGCGGCCAGCTGTGCGCCAGCGCATCCGAGCCGAGAGTGCCGCGAGTCAGAGAATAAACTGGGCGCAGTGGGACGAGTCCCGAGAGGCGAACAGGTCTATCTGTGCTTCCCCGAACTGGTCCCAATCAGCTGGACCGACTGGGGATGGAGTCGCCATTCGCCGGAGATGGGACGGCCCGGGACAGCTC